GGCAGCATTTCGCATTGGTCTCCGAAATACACGAAATGAGAGTAGTCAACGATGACCACAATCAAATATGCATCCGGAGAACAACACAAATACTGAACCGAAAGTTTATCAATCTTATCCATAGACTCCAACTTACATGTTATTGCAAATTATGAAAATTAATTTTCTCAAACTGTCCAATCGGACAATTCAAAATTTAACACAAACGATTAAAAGATTAATCGTTTGTGTTAAATTTCAAACGGGAACTAAGGGTCACTCAATGATTTGATACTTATAATCTAACATGAAAATAATAACACAACTAATACATGCATATTCAAAAGCCAATAACACATGCAGACCTTAAAGTCAAAAACATGCATACACAAAACCCAATAACATGCGTACAAAACAATTATTAACGAAGAAGCTAACCTGAAGAGCAGATTCCAAATGAAATGGAGGGAAATGGAGGAGTGCACGACCTAAAACATAGGCCAAAAACAGTAAACAACGCCGCCCAAGAACACGCAAGAAACTACACCAAAACGCACCAAAAATGATTTTTAATCGGTCCAAATGAAAGATATTTCATCACAGAACAATTTAATTGGATTAAAAATAAATTTAAATGGTCCAAAACAGAGAAAAACCAACCTGGAAATGCAATGCGCAGAGAGAAATCGCGGGGAAGACGATGAATAGTGAGCGTAACTCCTCGTGGGTTCGCGTTTTAGTATAAATGCCACTAGACGTCCGTTACTGGAAGGCCCCGACGTCTATAATATTATAGACGTTGGGGCAGTAACTAATATGACGTGTTTTGGTTTTAAATATTGATATTCGCGGGGGGCTTTAAACGTCCGTTAGAGGGGCACCGACGTCTATAATACTATAGACGTTCGTCCCCCCACAATGGACGTTTAAGAGGCTGAACACCATTAACTCTTCAACTACCCTGTCAGCAACGTAGACGTCCGTTCTAGAGGGGGTCGGACGTCTATAATATTATAGACGTCGGGGCCCCCAGAACGGACGTTTAAGCGGTTGAACACCATTAACTCTTCAACTACCCTGTCAGCAACTTAGACGTCCGTTCTGGAGGGGGCCGGACGTCTATAATATTATAGACGTCGGGGCCCCCAGAACGGATGTTTAAGTGACTGAACACCATTAACTCTTCAACTACCCTGTCAGCAACTTAGACGTCTGTTCTAGTAAGGCTCCGATGTCTATAATATTATAGACGTCCGGCCCCCTCCAGAACGGACGTCTAAGTTGCTGACAAGAAAGTTGAAGAGTTCATTGCTTCAGCCTTTTAAACGTTCGTTAGAGGGGTCCCGACGTCTATAATATTATAGACGTCCGGTCCCCTCCAGAACGGACGTCTAAGTTGTTGATAGGGAAGTTGAAGAGTTCATTGCTTCAGCCTTTTAAACGTCCGTTAGAGGGGCCCCGACGTCTATAATATTATAGACGTCCGTCCCCCTCCAGCACCGACGTCTACAGTCCCACTTATTTACGGATATGTCACCGGTCAATTATTTACGTTGGGGTTTTTGCGGACGGACATCTATTGGGTGACGTTAAAGGTCAATTCTGTACTAGTGTGAAAAAGATGGTTAAGGTTCGTGCACTTCTACTTACAAAAAAACACCACGACAACGATAATACCAATGCTCCACAGGGACGTCGAAGACTACTTCGATGTTGCACAAGAAGGAGGTCTGAAACACCGAGAAGGCACAAGACGCCAGTAGGGTTTCAACACCATAAAGATGAGATAACGAGAGAGATGAGAGAATGAAAAAGATGAGAGAACGAAAGAGATGAAAGAACGCGAGAGATGAGAAAGGATAACTGGGAACGAAAAAAGAATGAAAAAAAGTGAAACAAAATTTCGTAAATTTCCTTTTCAATTTTACCCTCGCCTAATCAATTGCATATTATTAGGTTTAATGTCTCAATAGGTCCCTATTTTTGTTCAGAATTTGAAATAGATCCTTTTATTTTTTGGCGTCTCAATTAGGTCCTTATTTTTGTTAATTTGATGCAAATAAATCCTTTCCGTCAATTTCATCAAACGACGTTAATGAATGTGTGACGTGGCCTTACACGTGTCAATACTGTCCTCAGGCCACGTAACACATTCATTAACGTCGTTTGATGAAATTGACGGAAAGGATTTATTTGCATCAAATTAACAAAAATAAGGACTCAATTGAGACGCCAAAAAATAAAGGGACCTATTTCAAATTCTGAACAAAAATAGGGACCTATTCAAACATTAAACCCATATTATTATTTTTTTCAACTTCAGCAGCCAATAGCCAAGCCAATGGCCAACCGCCACATGCGCATTGTCAAATCGTTGGTAAAAAAAAGAACGTTGTTAAAAGAAGGTTTTTTTTCTTCTAGGAAAAGGACTAAACAAGAAAAATGAGGAGATAAAAGATCCCTTTGCAATGAACAATTTCCTCGACAAACTGCATTACAAAATCTTGATGATAGAAAACACGGAGCTAACTCTTCCCAACGAAACGATAAACAACAACGCCAACCCTAGATCCATCACAAGGAGGATCAGTATGCAAAACATCAACATGAAAGTGCTTTTTTGCCTTCCTAAAAAACGCCGATTCCTTCTTCCACCTTCTCAAGTGAGCCATCAAAAACATCATCTTCTCCTTCCGCTCTCTCACCGCACCTTCTGTTAGCATCATCAAACGCAGGGTTTCCAGCAGAGGCTCATAAAGGTGATCGTGATACACTACATCCGACGCTACAATAAGATCGAAATCCCGTCCGATCGCTTCCACGTCATCAGCGTGGCCCCACCTCAGAGGCGCAACTGTTAATTCCCCGCCTCTGGGCCCCACAACCCCCGCGTTTGCGTCCGCGTTGAATTTCAGATTGGGAACTACGTGAGGAAGGTCCGTCAGGGTCACGTGGCCGCCGAGAGTTGCGGCAGCGACGATTCCAACGATGCCCGTGCCGGAACCGAGCTCGAGGATCCTGAGACGGCCATTGAGCGCGGCGGAGAGAGGGCTGGATGAAGGGTCAGCGCGGTAGCGATCGAGTAGGGAGACGAGAGAGGTGGCGGCGGGCCAGAGCTGGAAGGAGAGGCCCTCGGAAGGTAGCTGACGAATGGTGAGCGTTGATTGAATCGAAGAGAGAAAATGGTTCTGGAGCAGGTGGTGATTGGGTGCAGCCTCGTGTAGGGTAGTGGAGGTTCCGTGTTTGTCGTGATCCTCTAGGAGGAGCATTGTGAAGGGGTTTATTATCTGGTCTTCCTCATTTTCTTGAGTGGCCATTCTTTTCGAGCTCAGCCGTTGAAGTTTTTGACTTAGGGATTGCGCCGTCGCGCGAGGACGTAGGGCAATTTTCTGCGTCCCCATTTATGTGTTTATATTCAAAGCGAATTAATCTTACTGTTTTTGTCTATTTTATTTTTACCAATTTTATTTTTCAATTTATAAGATGCTGGGAATTTTGCAGACAGGTAGAGATGTCACCGTTAAAGTGAAATTATTACAAAATTTCTTTAATTATGATGATTTAAAAGAAATCGGAGAGGGTCTTAGTTGTATGACGCTTTTTCTATGTAAGAGTTAAATACTATGTGATATTTTTTATAGAGTAAATTTGATTATTTTAAAATTGTAATAAAGATAAAAATATAGTAGTTAAATATTATTTATTAATTTAAAAGACAAACTTTTAGTTAAATTATCCATTGTATTTTATAGTTTATTTTATGTGTTATTAATGTAAAAGACTTATATACTTATTCATAAAACTTTATATAGTTGTCGCATTAGTAAATATGACAAAAATGAGAAAATGTTAACATTTATTGAATGTATATACAAAAATATTTATGCTAACGGTGTACATAAATGGTTTCATATTTTTTTAAAAATAATTTAACTAAGTCACACTAAATGTTTTCTCGAATATATCATAGTGAAAAATTATTTCAAACTTCGCCTATTTAATATCAAAGAAAAAGGCAATTAGTCATTGAAGTTGACATTTAATTTAGACTTTTTAATAGAATTCCATTTACTTAATTAATACTTATCATTCAACATTTTATACTGTCAGCTACTTAAAACTAAGTTTTTACACAAATTTTAAAATAATTACGATCAAATTCAATAAATTTAAGCAGTTTTATTTATTCATAACAAGATTAAGGATAGTAATAGAAATAAAAAAATATAAAAAAATAAAAAAACAAAAAAAACTCCGCAAATTTCATATATATTTTCGCTTATAATTTCTTTATTGCATAATTATTTTCTGGTCTATCTCTATGTGCACCTTGGACACACGCTGTAATCCTAATACGCTGGCAGTGGTGTGGGCTTAAACGAGGCAACAAAATTATTACCAGTGAAAAAATCGACAAACGGTGCGTTTAAGGATTCCGTTCGTCTTCACAGTTTGCAGTAAGACCAAGGAAAACAGCGGCCATCGGCGATTGTTTTGATCGGAGACGGAGCTGGTATATCCCGTTCACACTCTTATTCAATTTCAATTCAAGTTATTTTTCTATTTCATTGTCTCTCTAACTTTCTCCAAATCTCGTTTCGTGTAATTCATCGTAAGATTGCTTCACTTCCATATATCGTTGATATATTTTCGTGTGCTATGTAAGAAGTTGAATTTGAGTTATGATAAGAAAAGGAACTCCATTATTTATGCATATACTTAATTGGTTCCAGAAAGAAGCAAGATGATCAAAGCAGTGCTGGTGATGAACACGCAGGGGAAGCCTCGTCTCGCCAAATTCTACGAATTTCAGGTTCCTCCGCTCTCTTCAAACCCTTGGTTTCTGCATTTCCATTTCTCATTTAATTGATGCAATTTTCACACTTTTTATTTTCTTTTTGTCCGGGATCAGCCCGTGGAGCAGCAGCAGGAAGCCATTCGCAATGTGTTTTCAGGTCTCTCTCTCTCTCTCTCTCTCTCATTCTTTAATTTTCTTTTGAATTTTGGTTTCTTTTTTCGTCAATGTTGTTTCATTTTGTAGTATTATGCAGTAGACCTGAACATGTCAGCAATTTTGTGGATGCCGAGTCCTTCTTTGGCCCGGTACTTCTCTACTTCCTCTAAATTTGATTTGTCAGAGTGTTATGATCTGTGTATTTTAATTTTCATTAATTAGGCGTTGGAAAAAAAAAATGAGATTAGGGCTTTTTCTTTGCAGTGTTTGTTGGCACAGTACTGATTAAAAAGATTGTATGGATTTGTATTGGCATATGGTGGTGGCAAGAGTAATAGCTAGGACTGAATTACCAAGAACTTGTTTTGAAACTAAAGTTAGAAGGACTGCTATGATCGTAATTGTGAGTGTGCTTTTAGTTTATAATCGAAAACTTTCTGTTAAGTGTTGTGAGCTTGATGACCGACCGGCGTTGCCTGTGCTCTTTTGAGCAATTCTTTGGCTTGTTTGTAGTAATACTGTTATCTCATCTTTATTCATTCGAGGAATGGAAGTATGGATTTATTATTGTATTCTTATGCAGGACTCTCGCCTTGTCTACAAGCACTTTGCAACTTTATATTTCGTGTTCATTTTTGATAGTTCTGAAAATGAACTTGCTATGCTTGATTTGATACAAGGTAGAGTCTTATAATATCTAACTTTTTACTGCATTGCATTAAATGTGAAAATTGAAAATATCTATCTTTTAGAGGGACGAGTTGCTGAATAGATTAATTGATCATTGTACTCAGTAATGGTAACTTGTTGGTGTGCTTGGGAATCAATCAGTTTGTCACAAATGTCTTAAGAAGCTACGATGTTTTGATTGAAAAGTGGATTAATTTTTTTCTCTATTAATATAATTCTTATGAATTGGGAAAATTGATATCATGAAATGACCGATTTCTGAATGACCGTGGATAACAAATCCTGCTAAGATCTATCATAAAAATGGTGAATTTTCAACTTTGGTTATATATGATATAACTCAACGTTGCAATACTGGTTTTACCGTTCCTTGCATCAAAGTAATTTAGATTAACATTTTTAATACACATTATCAAATGCCTCTCAAAGTAGTTAATTCGTAATGTATGGGACCGATGCATGATTACAAATGACGTAGTTTTCTTGTATGGGTGTCATCAATATGATGAAGGTGGAGATACAACCAATGGAGCTTCTTTATGGTCCGTAATGGGTTCAGGACTAGGATTATTGAAGTTAGAATTAGAGTATTGTTTGTTGTTCTATGTTATTATAAAGTTGACTCTAAGCCTAATTCAACTCTACAAAATCTAATTGTAGGGTGATATTTGTACTCACTTATATTCTGGAAATTGTCTTTATTTCTAGTCGATGTGGAATTTTCAACACACCTCCCCCATGTCGAGTTATGTATATCTTGTGTATGAGACTAGATATTTGTGGGTGGTCCAATAACAAGTGGTATGATTGACCCAACAAACAACTAATCACGTTAGGATATACTCTAAATGACTCTAATGTTATATTAAGAAGTAACTCAACCCTATATAATCAGTTGCTTGTAAGGTAAGGTTTGCATTCACTTATGTACAGTAAATTGTACTTATCTCTAGTTAATGTGGGATCTCTAATATAGGTTTTGGATCTTTTTTAGTATGAACATATTTTGGATCTTTTTAGTATGAACATATAACATATTTAATATTCAGAAACTTAGTTGAAGTTATAACAATAAAAACCTGGATTACAAGATAAAAATTCTTCTAGAATTTTATACACAGACTGTACTTTAAGTACTTCATACCTACCATAATCATCCTAAAACTGATTGAAATAATAAAAAATAAATACTAGAGATTATTCCGTGTGAAAATTACAGAATAATGTTAAAATTAATTATGATAAACCGTTTATACCTTTTAAATCATTCTGATATTTGGTAGAGCTTAATGATGTCTTAATCCATGTATGTAGCCAACCTTGCATTGCGGGATATGACTTAGTAGTTGTCTTACACCATAAGCATGTGAAAGAATACCCATATGCATACGCATCTACATTATAGATTTTTAAAGGGAAAGAAAAGAAATTTAATCCATGTTTCTAGGAAAATGTTGTGAAACCTACTTACAAGTTGATACTAAAAACTCTTTTCAAGAAATCATGATTTGAATGTTTATTTGGGCTTAAATGCTTTTGTGGTCATTTTGCTTTTTTCACATTCTGAACTCTATTGGAGGTAATAGTGTTAAACGTTAACAGTCCATTTAACGTTTAAATTAGTCATTCTCTTCAACCATTTCAATTTTATTGCATATTGTTCCAAGGATCTGGTGGGGTAATTATTTGCCTTATCATTATATATTATCTATTACATTCTGCATGACTATGTAGATATGCTAACACTGTTTCATTACTGCTTCTGACATTGTTGTTAATTTTTTTTGTTTTTATTTGCTTATTTTGTCCCTTTCTGCCTTCAGTCTTTGTTGAAACATTGGACAAATGCTTCAGAAATGTATGTGAGCTTGATATCGTGTTCAACTATAGTAAGGTTGGATGCTTTGTGCCCTCGATTATGAAGTTTTCGTTCTTTATCTCAAATTGCTCTATATGGTAATGTACCCCTGTATAAATATATGAATTAGAAGCTGTTACGATTTCGGGAAACATTTTTTGCTGCATATATGATTTGCTGGTGTTTAATGCAGTCTATAAGTTTGACTCGTTGAATTCTCAAATGTGAAGCAATTGACAATGTTTGACTTTGCACTTTTTATTCTAGATTGACAACTCCTTTATATCTTTTTTTCTCCATAAATTGTGTTGTTTTGGAAATGCCCTTCAATTTTGGGAATCAATTCTTTCTTTTGCTTAGTACCTCAATAGTGATACTTCAACCTAAGCAAATCTGCATCTTAAATTTCCATTAATGTGTTCCTAAAATATTAGTTCGTCTGCAGTTGCATACTATACTAGATGAGATCATTCTCGGAGGCCAGGTGTTGGAGACAAGTTCAACTGAGGTGATGAAAGCTATTGAAGAAATAGCAAGGTGCTCTCTCTTTCCCTTCTGGTTTTTTACGTGGTCTTTCTTCTTTACATAGGACTCTCCCCACTCTAGCCTATTACTTTCTCCAAGAATACGATGACTTCTCTCTAAACCTCCCCTTCTTTATTTGTAGGCAATTGTGCCTTATTTCTTCTACTATGTCATCCCGCCAAACTAACCTAACTGACTTCCTCGAAATTGTAGACCTCACAATCTATCAATACTCCTAGTCCCCTTAAAGTTTCACCTTGTCCTCACCACGAATGGCTTGTAGCTGCCAAAATGAAGTTCCATTTGATGTTCAACTGTGATAGAGGAATAAAAGTGTATGTTAGGAGAAATAAAGGCGGGAAAGGAAGTTAAGAGGGAAAGTCTGTTAGAAGTTTGTTAGAGGGGCAAGATA